GGGTCTGATTATTATATTGTTGACACTTTAAAATACTACTATCCTACTAAAATGCTGTACAAATCAGATTTATTATTTAATAAAGAAATAAAAAAAATAAAAATTCATATCCTTTATTTTTCAATATCACGATAAATATCGTACCGTGGACTTTTTAATCGCGATATTATCGTACCGTGAGTTTTTTGGTATCGTTACATCCCTATTGGTTACTATTACTTACTTAGTTATACTAAAGTAAGATTTTCAATGACAGTGAAATCCTTAACAACAGTATCCATCTATTATTATTGGAGGTTTAAACTGACTGAGGTGAAGTCACCAAACAACAAGAACAACCTTAACAATAAATAACAAAAAAGCTACAACTGAACAACATCATTGTCTTTTTTCAGGATGTGTACAGTACTCACTTTTCTGAGCATGTGTTTTAATATACAAATAATAAAAAGCACCGACCTGTTTGTCTAGGCGGTCGGCGATGCTGTAGACCAGCGGAGGGATGGAGCCTTCTTTAGTTTTCCCCACATCACTGCGGTAATGTTCACTCGCAGGCAGACAGCTGAGGATCACACACACGTACACACACACACACACCACACACACACACACACACACACACACACACACACACACACACACACACACACACACACACACACACACACACACACACACACACACAGAGAAAAAAAAGGGCTTCTATATAAAGGTGTGAACACTGGTTTGCTAAACAGAAAAGGGCACAAAACGTACAACAGGTAATCTCAAAACTATTATTTCCCGCAGCAGGAATCTCTTATCACACTTTAGCGCAGGTGTCGGCAACCCCTGGCACCGTAACCAGTGGCGCACTAGGAATAAGTGCGCAAAATATTTAAATTGTATTTTCGGATCCTGAACGAGACCGCCGGCAGAGCGCGTCTCCCCCTGCAGAAAGAAGCCATGCACGCAACGCAGCGCAGAAGGATAACTTATAGGCCCTGCTCTCTTTAACTCCAGTCACGTCCGGTAATCACAATACGTCCGTCCGTCAGCGAACCGAGCCGGTCACCAACGGGCCGTTGACGACCGTGCTCGGTTTGCTGAGCACAGCCTTTATTTAGTGGGTAGATAGTTGGAATGCTGATACAGCATTCCAACTATCTGTTATGCTATGCACAAAATTCTTTATTATTCCGCCGGGTTATTTTGCACCTCTTCTTCTCCCACATTCCACATCACAGAAACTCCGTTCGAACATCAAAACGTTCAGCTCGGTCGGGAATCGATGGCTATTACTTTTCTTATTCATAACTTTCATAATTGCAGAGATACATCCCATAATTCATCACATTTTTAACATGGAAGTCAATGGAGAAACTCTTCAGACTTGAACAATCTTCATGCAA